GACTCAGGTCCGCTGAATGCAGCCCGAGATTGGGAAATGCAGGTGGACCTAAATCAGAGGCTCACTTTCCCGCCTGAAATCGCAGCAACCAACCTGCGGCCAGACCTGGTCCTTTGGTCCAAATCCTGTCGACGTGTCTTCATTGTGGAGCTGACAGTCCCATGGGAGGAAGCAATCGATGAGGCATTCGAAAGGAAAAAGATGCGATATGCAAACCTGGCAGCTGAAGCAGAGGACCGGGGATGGAAAGTATTTGTGCGGCCAGTGGAGGTGACTTGCAGGGGCTTTGTAGTTAGTTCCACCACAAGGCTACTGAAGGAGGTGGGAGTTAGAGGGCAGGCTCAGCGGAAGACCATCAAGGAGCTTGCAGATGCTGCCATAAGAAGCAGCCATTGGCTGTGGCTGAAGCGGAAGGAGACAGGCTGGGCTACTCATGGAGCCTCCGGTGCGGCGCACACCCAGGTCTGATCAGCCTGTGGTGGGCCGGCCTCGAGCGACGGTGTATGGTGATAAAAGGCCGAAACACCCAATGACCCCGGGGTACACAACTGACGATGTGTCGTACTGGAGGCAGAGCATCATCAAATGAAAACACATGAGGTCACCTACCTAAGAGGAAATCGCCATACAGTACTGATCATCAAGGGATTTTAACACCTAGTCCTAGTAGACATATAAGCTATATGGTGATCAAGTGGCTTGTGATATTTTTTTTTAAGACTGAGTTTCTGCGTTTAGATGCATTGAGAAACTGACTTAGTCAGCAAAACATGATCTAAATAAAATTATTGGCGTTTAATTTTTAGATTATGTAAAAATATATTGGCCAATTATTGTAACTGGTAGCTCCCTGAAATTGGTATCAGAGACAAAATGCTTATATTGTGCCCTAATGTCTCGGAGTACTTGGTTATAAACATAAAATGGTGCAGAAGTGCTGTTAAAAAAATACAATTTCTTATAAACAGCACTACTGACTTCAGGCTAAAGTGGTGCCAAAACAAACAATCAAAGCACTGATAACTAACAAGAGAAGTGAACTCACTAGTCTATAGAAAGTTAATGAAATATGCTGCCCACAGGAGGACACAATACAGGACGTGTAAAGAAAAAGTAGCTCAAAAATCAGTTAAGCAAGTTTGTAAAACAACCAAGATTAACCAATAAACCTGTAAAACTGTAAAACCAAAATCTGTAAAACTAAAGCTAGTCACAACCAAGACCTCTAGGAAAAAATCATAAACGCCCTCCTCATGCCATCCTGCTGGTCTGCCTTTATCTGAAGGAGTAGCCAATCCTTTCCTTGAGGGAGGTGGGACTTCCTTCCAATGGGCAAATCGAAGGTTTCTTCAATGGCCATTAAAATGCCAGATTTTTGTGATAGAAACATGGCTGCATAAGTGTGCACACCCTTAAACTAATATTTTGTTGAAGCACCTTTTGATCTAATACAGCATTCAGTCCTTTTTGGGTAGGAGTCTATCAGAATATCACATGCTGACTTGGCAATATTCCCACTCTTCCTTTCAAGGACATCTCCTGTGCATAGTCCTTCAGAATTTCAGTTGGTTGTACGTCTGGGCTGTGACTGGGCCATTCCAAAACTTTAATTTTCTTCTGGTGAAGCCATTCTTTTCTTGATTTGGATGTGTGCTTGGGGTCGTTGTCGTGCTGAAATGTGAAATTCCTCTTCATCTTTAACTTTCTAGCCGACACCTGAAGGTTTTGGGCAAAAATTGACTGGTTTTCGGAACTGTTCATAATTCCCTCCACCTTGACTAAAGCCCCAGTACCAGCTGAAGAAAAACAATCCCATAGCATGATGCTGCTACCACCGTGCTTCACCATGTGTCAGGGTCAGCGCCCGGCCGTCCCTGCCCTTCATGTCTCTTCCTCGTTTGGCCAGTAGGTGATGCTGGCCATCCTGTTCCTTCCTCTGTCTTTCTTCTGGTTCCATGTGTGTTTTCCCTGCTCCCCAGCCTGCTGCGTGACCCAGTGGGTTGAGTCATGGGTTTGAGGCTGGTCCTGTTCCCCTGGTTTTTTTCTAATCCGTCTCTCCTTGAAGGATTGTCCTGCTTGTATTCTGTGTTGGTTTTGCATTTGTGTTCCATGTTTATTCTTTTAGTGTTGTTGCCTACTTCCAGTATCTTTATTTTGTTACTGTGTATGTTAATGTTAATTTGTTTCACCTGTTGCTTGTTTTTTGCCCCATGCCTCTGATTGATTCATTTATTATTGAGTTACACCTGTCCCTTGTTTGCCTTGTTTGCCTGTGTGTATTTAATCGCCTGTGTCTGTTCTCTTCTTGAGTCTGTCATTGTTCATGTTCATGCCCATGCTACTGTGCATTAGGAGTTCTGCTTGTTTCTCTGTCCTGCTCCCTCTGTTGCTCTGTTGCCTGGTGATATTATTGTATGGTTTATTTATTTGGTTCTTATTTTTCCCTGTTGATTTTTGACCCCTCGTGATCCCTTTATTTTGTGCCTTTCCCCAGCATCTTCTGTTTAATTCAATAAACCCATGAATTTGCAAGTGGATCGTCACCTTTTTCCCACCTGCGCCAGGCTGTTCCATGACACCATTAGTATGGTGTTCTTTTGGTGATGTGCAGTGTTGTTTTTGCGGCAAACATGCCTTTTGGAATCGTGGACAAAAAGTTCATCTAGTTCTGTAAGACACAGCAAGTGGGTCCGAATTGCACTTGTGAGGATATGGGTTTAGTCTAGAATCTACTTTGGTTAAGGTCTGTAAAGGTGCCGTACAGCTACAGCAGGTTTGAGAAGCCGAGTGGCCTGATTTTCCGCAGTTGTCCTCACGCCACACGGCTCTCTGTCACTGAGGATTAGGGATGCAGAGGTTCTCTGAAAAAAGCCAAACTGTTCGGATTGACATCCAAGGTTTGGCACACGTAGCCGAACCACAATTATGACAGTTATGATTAGTAATTTTAGATGCTGTGATCTCTACACAATCAATAGCTAATTCATGCTTTGAAGGTTTTTTTCGAGTTTAAGGAAAAACCAATTATGGTGAGTGGTGGGGGCAATGAAGACGAGCTACTAACACCCCCACCGTCATACAGGTCGGGTGTGTGGGGGCATTTTGGTTTCCTGCTAATTTATGACAGCAACAGTAGAAGAGCCATCAAAAGAACTGCAAATGTCTGTAGACATTGCTATACATGTCTTATGTATGTTAGCAGTCACATATCAAATATGAATGCCTGTTTACAGCGAAATCACCCTGGTGTGACCGTAGATGTTGTAGTCAGAGGAGGAGAACCAGTTGCTACACTGAACTTGCTCACACTTGCAACCACTTTTAAACAACGGCTTAACTTCAACTCGGATAGACACAAAACCGTAATGAAAGCACTGGGGAGTTTTATAGCAAAGGATTTGCAGCCGTACTCCGACTGACTGTGTTGATGTACATGTGACTTATGTGTCCATCAGCTTACTGCTTACATTTTTTTGTTGGCCTTACAGTTTTTTAGTTATTTTCAGACTCGTCTCAATTCCATGTCCCCTTTTTCTAAACACTTAACACGTGCACCAAATCAGTAGACTATGTGAACAAAACCATGTATACTTTTGCATTGCTTTGACACAAACTGCATTCAATCACCAATTCTCCCAGAATGCATGTGTTTTGGTGGTTGGATAGTATTGATAAAGTAATAAGGTAATATCACAGTACAACTGCTGGGATGGGAGATGGGAGCTCACATTATTTGTTGCACTTTGACATTATATGGTGGCAATCTGTTAAAATTTAAATGTAACTTATTCAACATGTGACTTGTGAAATGTAGAAAATCTATGGAGTTTTTTTATACATTGAATACAAACTGCTACAAACTTAAACTGTCTCTCTCACAGTTTTTACAGTTGTTTTCACACTATTCGAAATACCATCTGCACGTTACACAATTCTTCCCCCAGTGTGCTTTAGAGAATGAACACATCAATTCACTTCTGGTGCAAAATGCACTTCGACCACCAAAACACTTTATATTTCACCCAATGGTGATTCATGCTGCCATAACTACAGCATACTGTACGTTCTGTCCCTTATGACTACTGTGTCAATCATTGCACAATCAACTCAAAAACATAAACACATCGAAGCATTGCAAAATACATGTATTTTGTGTTTCTGTGTCGTTAATTTTGTATAGTTATAGTGTGGAATTGTGAAATAAAAGGAAACATACAGTATACAGCAGTAATAGTGGAAAATATCTTCAGCGACAGTTACAGAATTTAACATAAATACATGGACATTTCCATGCGAATATGACCATTTTTGTATTGATGGTAACAAAGCTACAAACTAAAAACTGAATAAACTTTTGTTAAAATCAGAAAAATCTATCTCAAGCATATGAACAGCTTCATTTATCAAAATGCTGCATATTTTCATCTAGAGTGATCAAAATTTTGTTAGGGTTCGAACTGAAAGGTAACGATTTTGCTGGTGTTGAACATTGACAGAGAGAGGTATTCATGAATTTTGAAATTAGTGGTGATTGAATGCATTTTGTATCAAAGTAATACAAAAGCATATACAGTTTAGTCCACTTGGGCTACTGATATGGTGCAAGTGTTAGGTGTTTGAAAGAGGGGGCATGATATTGAGACTGAAAACAATTATGAAAAATTGTAAACCGCGATACAGACCGAGCAGAGAGATTTTTGAATCTTTGAATCCCAACATTTGTGATGTGACCGCATGACGGCACATCTGTATGCGTGCATGAGCCCTTTAACACCGCTGGTGGCAGAGAGATGCATTTCTGCCTGCAGCCTGCAGCCACTTAGCCTGCGATGAGCCTCATCCCAGCTGATTTACATGCATTTCTGCCTGCAGCCTGCAGCCACTTAGCCTGCGATGAGCCTCATCCCAGCTGATTTACATGCACGCCTATGCAGACCCCACACTACTTCTGCTAATGGACATGTGTCCATCTCTGCCCCCCCCGCCTCCCTCCACTGCAGGTCCTGAAGGGCTGTAAGAAGCTCACCATGTCTGTGTGTTCCGTGGGCCGCATTCCCGGGGGCTACATCACCAACCACATCTACACCTGGGTGGACCCTCAGGGCCGTAGCGTGTCCCCGCCCCCGGACCTGCCCGAGCACAGGAGCGCCACCGTGAGGCGGGCCGGCAGCCAGCCCCGCAGCCACTCGCAGCTGCTGCAGGAGGGCGACGAGAAGCGGGTGAGTCCCGGAGCACCTAGACCCAGGAGCGAGGCCATTAGTGCCGCTGGCTAATAAAGCGAGGCAGCTCTGTGAGTTTAGCCAACCTTTCTGCTGCGTTTTGCCCATAAAGCCCCTGAGGTCAGCTCATTGGTCACATTTATTGGGCTCCAGGATGTTTCCCTGTGACCAAAAACATCCAGTTGGGCAGATTGGTGTCTATAAATTGCCCATACTGTGTGATTTTGTGTTTGTGTGTGTGTTTGTGTCTGTGTGTGATTTTGTGTGTGATTGTGTTTGTATATGTTTGAGTGTGTCTCTGTTTGTCTGTGTGTGATTACATGGTTTGTGTATGTCTGTGTGTCTATGTGTGACTGTGTGTATCTGTGTGATTGTGTGTCTGTGTGTGGCTGTATGTGATTGTGTGTGTATCTGTGTGATTGTGTGTGTCTGTGTGTGATTGTGTGTGTGTCTGTGTGTGATCACATGTCCGTGTGGTTGTATTTGTCTGTATGTGATTTTGTATCTGTATGTGATTGTGTGTATCTGTGTGATTGTGTGTATCTGTGTGATTGTGTGTATCTATGTCCTGTGATAGACTGGCACCCCTTCCTGTGTGTATCTGTGTGATTGTGTGTATCTATGTCCTGNTATGTCCTGTGATAGACTGGCACCCCTTCCTGTGTGTATCTGTGTGATTGTGTGTATCTATGTCCTGTGATAGACTGGCACCCCTTCCTGTGTGTTCCTCCACCATGTCCCCTATGTTTTTTGCCATAGCCTCCAGTTCCCCCCACAACCCGCTACTGTAGGATGGTGTTCAAAACCAAAATAAATTGCCCTATGTAACCTACAAAATCTATTTTGATTTCCAGCTCAAACAATCCTTCTCCTGCCCCTTTTCTACTTGTTTCTTAACAAAGAGGATGAGTCGAGTTAGTGTTTACCATGCAGTGGTTCTTCATCTGCTGGATCATGACGGAATTGATTGATATGGAATCAAGTCAAGTGCTTTAGTCAGATTGATGGGACGTTTTGCTGAAAGATAGGATTATGAACGTATTCGTTTCTGCTTTCAGTAGAAGCTTAAAGATGGGGAAATTTACAGACCTGTAGTCAAGTTTATTGAAGGTATTAATAAAGACAATCTATTGTTTCTGCTGTCTCTGCAGAGACTTAATGTAACCCTGTTCTTTCATTTTCATTCAGCATATTTAAGTCAAGCCTTAACAATGGTTTGCCAATTTAACTGATGATAAAATAAGTCTGGCTCAGTAGATTAAAAGTCACTTTGCTGGATAATATAATATTTGAACTTATTATTTAAACATTCAGCCAGTCTGGTGAAGCTAAGAATCGTATATTGTCTCTGTGTATAAACTGTAGTTCAGTCCAGGGCACATGGAGTAATGAATCATGAGAATAGTATAGCTTTTGGAGGAGAAATGGTGTGAGATGGTGTAAGCTCCATGAACCACCTTTTTGAGGCTGCGTGTGTGACTCTCCAGGTGAACCTGGTCCTGGACGACGGGCGCTCCCTTGGCCTGATGATCCGGGGGGGTGCGGAGTACGCCCTGGGCATTTACATCACTGGGGTGGACCGGGGCTCCGCCGCAGAGTTAGGGGGACTCAAGGTACAGATGCATTCATACTTTGTTTTAACTGACTTTCTCCTCCCATTTCTCTGTTTTGTCAAACAACCTCCTTGACTGTGAATTTTGCATGATTATGACCTCGCCTAAACCAAACACGAAAAAGAGATTTTGTGCTCAATCTCAAATTCTTTAATTGAAGTTATTATAAAGATATAAATTCAGCATACCCAATTTAAGGGTGTTAAGTGCCTAATAAAAATGTTCCCTCTATCCCCATTTGTTTTTTTTCTTTCCTGTTAATAATTCTTAGACCTCAATCTTTAGCGTTAATAGCTCCTGGTGTTCATGCATTTAGACCCAAGTCCACAGACAGACAGATTTAAATCTCTGTCTAGACCTTGAATCGTGAGGAGCGAACACTTGATTCTGAAAGCACTGAGGCTGTACTGCACATAGACTAAACTCTGACCTCTTCTTGCCTGAATGCTCCATCAGGTGAAGGTTGACTGAACACAGATGGATTTGGTCTTCATTTGGAGTAGGTTCAATATGCTGGTTTACCCAGTAATGTAATAACGGCAAGCTGCCATTTTATTGCGTTGGATTTTATGTTGGGCTTGTAAGTCTTGCTTGCCTGATGACTTCAGTAACACTGCTATGCTTGGCTTGTATCCCTGTGTGCGATTTACATTCTTTTGCGGTAATAAGCTGGATCATGGTCTCGCAAAAGGATAAGTCTGGCTATATATTACATGTTTCTGTTAGTTTGTTTTCACATAGTGGTACACCTATGTAATCTATGCTTTTAAGGATAATTTCGACAACCTTCCCTAATAAAATTGGTTGGAAAATATAAGTGTGCATCAATTTATACAGCCAGTGTCCAGACAATTTCCCAAGTACCTCTCTATACTGAGCAGAGTCCATGACTATTTCAAGGTCATAAATTTGTGAGACTGCCATTCATTTACCAAAATACTTATATAATATCTTTAGTGTATATACATTTCCCTGCTGATGTGTATGTTCAAGCAAACTGAGCAATGCAAGCCGCTACATAGTGCTTATTCACCCTGGATTCAACATTGATGTATGGAGAGTGTATTCCTGGCTGGATTCCATCCGTCCATTTTCAAAAAGCACTTGTCCTTCTGGAACCCTGGTTTAAAAGCACACAGCACTGGGCAAGCACATAATGCCTGTCTGTCTCTGGACATTCGCAATCACACACACACACACACACACACAGATTAGGTATCTATGTCTTTGTGGGGACTCTCCATTAATTTCTACGGGTATAACCCTAATCGCAACAATGACAACCTTAACCCCTACCCAGCCCTAACCTTAACCATAAGTAACCAAAAAAATACAAAAAAAATTTTTGTGTATTGATTGTATTTACATATTTTTCTAAAAATAGAATTTCCCCTTGTGAAAATGTGTCTCAGCAAGGTCAAAATAAGAGATTTTTATTTCATTGTGGGGAGACTGTGTATTTCTAGAGGAACCTGGGGGAAACCTACACAGCACTGGGTGTTCATGTATGGACAGGTAAAGGAGAAGGTGATTATGGACAGATCAGGGAGATGGGGATCATGTATGGGCAGAATAGCGAGATGGGGATCATATATGGGCAGATCAGCGAGATGGGGATCATGTATGGGCAGGTAGTAAAGGAGAAGGTGATTATGGACAGATCAGGGAGATCACAGACCGATCTGGGAGAGAATGATCTGGTGTGGTCAGATCAGGGAGAGGGCAATTATGTATGGGCAGATCAGTGAGATGGGGATCATGTATGGACAGATCAGCGAGATGGGGATCATGTATGGGCAGATCAGCGAGATGGGGATCATGTATGGACAGATCAGCGAGATGGGGATCATGTATGGACAGATCAGCGAGATGGGGATCTGATGAAATGAATTAAATCATCAAAACAGTGATACCAGTGACCAGTAATGTAATTAAATGCATTTCATAAAAGAAATAACACTAATAATGATACATTAATAAATTATATCATAAACATCTTGTGGGTCTTATGAGTCTTAAAATTGCCTATACATCATATCGTACGACATAATATTTTATTTCGTATTATCAAAATGTCTTAACTAAAAACTGTACAGCATGTGCAACTGCGAACACTCCCCTATAAGGAAGCTGGAAGTAACTTAAGCTGTGAAACAAAACGCTACGAATAAGAAGCTAAACGAACCGGAAGCTGCAGATAAATAGCTAACTTAAGCCGCGTGTGACTTAAGTAAATATCGGGCGACAAGGTTGACCTTGGCCAAGAAACACGAAGACAACGGAATCAGCAAACGCACTGAGAAAGCGCACAGTGATCCGTAGCTCCGCCCACCGCCCCGCTCCGATTATCATATATTTCCATGTAGTGAATTTGAAAATGAAAAGGCAAAGTAGGAAATGAAAAGCCGAATTGGAAAATGAAAAGACAAAAAGGGTTTTTAATTTTATTTTTTAATTTTTCACATCTGATTCATATATGAGTGGAAAATGAAAATGCAAATGGTGCTATTTCATTTTAATTTTCATTTTTGCAGGATTTTTGCGCACAGACTTTGGAAACTAAATGGCAAAGTGGAGATTGTGTATTTTCTTTTTATCTTTTAAATTTTTTATTTTTTTTGCAGAAAATACCTCCTACAGTGGTGAAACACATGGATGTACAAAAAGTTTTATTCTTTAAGAGTTGAAAACCGGTTCGGACGATTCACTGAAAAGAACCGGTTCAAACGAATGATTTGTTTACTTGAATAGCTGTTTTTGCATCTTAGTTTGCTTAGTGCTTTTCACCCCGACTGAAAATTGAGTAAATACAAATGCGATTCTGCGTTGTGTTGGACTTGGGTATTAATACATCAATCATGTTACAACAGATTCGCTGTGTGATATCACACGTTGTAGCAGGACAGGACTGACTGTATGTTTTTAATTCCATCGATGTGAAAATGGTTAAGGCACCTAGATTTTGAGATGCCGTTATCCTGGGAAAGACTAAAGAGGCTTTGTCAGTGAGCCAAAACACTTTAATTGTTCCGTCAAAAAGGACAGTGATGTACAGCATCCAGATGCTCGATGTCCACCTGATACCTGGTGCCATATCTCTGACGAAAGGGTGAAATATACCAGCTGGCCAGGAAGGTTGGACCAGGCAAGGAGCCAGACAGACTATTGACAGTCAGCAAGATTCTGGACGTTGACGGCTTGGCCTGAGCACTGAAGATAAATGATACGTTCTAGTCATTTTAGATGAAAATTCTCCTTGGGGGGTGGGGAGAGAGTGAGTTAAAAAATGTTTCCATACAATGTTATGCCCCAGTGCATGTAATAGCTCCGCTGGGCATATTTGCTGGCATTTTCCATTCCACTGCAGTGTTTTGTCACATTCCCACCCACAGCACTGACGGTCCAGGTGCGGCCTGGCAGCACCTCATCCAACAGCTTTCATGTTATTAGGTACAGAGCAGTGGGCAGCTGAAGGGGCTGCACCTGTCCCCCTGCTATAGACAAAGGCCATTACCAGCCCCTCTGGGGGGGGGGGGAGACAACAGGCTGGCCTTGCTGTAGATGAACAAACCTTAAATTGCTTTTGCTCAGGACCTCAACTGAAAACAGTCGTAGTATGAAAAATGAATTTAAACGGATTCATAGAATTTTGGGGGAGCCTGAATTCGTGGCACCATGCCTCTTTTATTTACCAATCAGGAACACAGTGATTTCAAAGATGTGCTCGGCTTTGCTGAAGAAGCCACATGACTGGCATATAGTTGCTATAGTCGGAAAGATAGCAGAATAACATTCGCATTCCATTTAACGTATCTGCAGCTAGACTTTCCGGATATAATGATGATTAACATCGATTATCACAAACAGACAAATCAAAGAAACATCTTGATACAGGAAGAAGCTCAAAGAATCAATAAGATCTTAATGTATATTTTTCATGTTCACTTCTGTTTCACAGTCTGTTTGAAGAGAACATTGTGTCTCATTCTGTTATCAAGACTCTCATTCAGCTCCAAATTTTCCTCAACAACATGTTGTATTGAACCATCAATGACTGTCTAATGGTGTGATGGGGAGGATCTGTATTCCTGCCATGAATGAAGCTCTCATTAATCTTCCGCGTCTGCTGTGAACGTTTTATTTAATGATTGATCGACCTCATCGAGTCAGCTGAGCTGCTGCTGTTGTTTACCGTTGCTTTTGGGGATGTTGTGTCAAGCATCTTCCCCTTTTTTTTCCGGCAAACACCGATGTTTACAGTGTAACCTGTCATTTATGGCTGCATCCCGCCACGCTTTCACTGGAAGTGTTTACGCGGTATGTGCTGAGAGTCTGCTGTCGCTGTCTCACTCAAACGCACGCATATCCAAATAATGCACTGTACAATGTGACCTAGAGCCCATGGGATCGATTTAAACCAATAAAGAGAAACACACAATGCATATACTTACATGCTCATGTACGCACCCACAACATTCCCACATGTACATGTCTAACTGCATCACCAGAAGGGAACAAAACATCCCCATATAGTTACTTTGTCTTAATAGCCTAATAAACTTAATTGCTACATTAATTACAGTGCTTCTGAAATTAGCAATAAAATCAGTGCCCGGGACTCCTTGCCAAAAGAAGAGGTAAATCTTTAAGGCAATCATTTTGTGAAATTCAGGTTAATTGTTTGTCTTGTGACCTGTGGGATTAATGAAATCCTATGAAGTCACGTAGAGGGATCTGGAATAGAGATTAACAGAATGCTGTTTTCCTGTAAGGGGCAGCTGTTGAAATTTGCCGTGGTCTGTGAGAGGTCATGTAGCCGTCTGTTATCTGCAGAGAGCTGCCTCCTTTCTACTGCACAGGAGGGGAACGACATGATATTTATAGTGATATTTACATTGATGCATCTGTTGTAACTGTTGAGTTATATGCATAACACCTATGCAAAGAATGCAGTAGATCAATCCACGTTTTTGCTCCCTCCCAGCTCCCTGCCAGACAGT